AATAGAATAAAGAGCATTGCAGTTTTAAGATACCTTGCATCCCACAACATTAAGTGTATGAAAGTTCTGGTGGATGTTGATGGATTACCTAAGAAAACTTGTACTATGGACTTTGTCACTGTACCACTGCTATAATCTTCTTGCCTGGACTTAACAGAAAGGCTGACAATGTGACAGAAGCTAGAATAAAACTATTCTCCAGTGCCAAAAAGCATGGGGACTCCAGAAGGGATCCTAAGATCACGTGTTCTGTAAAGATAGCATGTTTTTTAAGGCAAATTTTCTTTTTAACAGAAACCTGTTATCAGTCTTTCAAAAATGATACATGATTGCACATTGTATTAAAGAAGCATGCCAGAATAAGAACTATCACAATGTTCTGTGGTAGTCCTTATCAAGTAAAGCCCAAATTTATTGAACTTCATAGGGCAAGAGTAAGACACAGTTCTCTTCTTTTGTGTGTGTGTACTTCAAATACAAATGAATGTATTCAGTTTAGCCTTTTCCACCCACTTCTGAATGTCAACTTCCTTAAATTGAATAGTATCGTAATTGTAGAATTTTTTTATTTGCTTACATTTTTCAGTACGGCAACAAAAGTCCCTAACTTTCCTGGGAGAGAAAGGGGCTATAGCTGTTTTCGAAGCCAGGATATCCCTCTGTAATATTATTTTTAGAGTTCATTTTGATTAACACATTCATTTCCTCTTAGAAAAGCAAACAAACAGGAAAAAAACAAACAGGAAACTCCTCCCATCCTGTGACTGGGAAGTGATGATCGTGAACTCTGTCTTTATTCATCTAATCCTCTGCCCATAAGGCTATTTAAGTGACTGTTCTTTTCCAGGGAGACCTGTTTCTTCTGTATGCTAAGGGTCATATTGCTTTTAAGGCCAAGCAGCTCATGTTTTCAGAAGAGCTCTATTGTCTGTCAGTTACTATCATCCGCTTTTTATTTTATTATATTTCCCCATGGAAATATATCACACTACACTTGAAGTTAAGCAGCTCATTCTCACTGAAACACTTGTTACCCTGGAGGGCTGGCAGACCTGAGCCCAAGAGCTTGGCTGTAGCAGGTAGGAGAGATGTTGAGAGACTGCAACACTGAAGGAAGCCATTCTCCTGCACATGGATTCTTAGTATGTTGGTACGTCATACTAATATACGGTGGCAAAGAAAGTGCAGGAAGATGCCAGGAGAAAGGAAGCCAAAGGAGAGGAAATCTCAGCTGCTAAGAGACACTTTTAATTTCAGTAAAATTGTTATTGAAAATAGTCTTTAGGTATAGTTAAATGTTAACAGTGATATTTTTATCCTTAAATCTTGATATCCGTACATACTGAAATAATAATTTACCCAAAGTGTAACAGAAAAGAAAGTTTGTTGTGATAAGTAGCAGTCCTTTAGACAATCAGGTTGACTATTGGTGCAAGTGATCTGTCTCCATTGACTTTGGCAGAATTTTAGCCACTCATGGTGATAAGAAATTTGGCCTTTACTATCTAAAAGTTCAATAACAAAATGATAAATGGTATGGGTAACTTTAATTTTATATTTGAAAAGTGAGAAGTTGATAATAATGATTTTCCCAGGGTTGACACTGATTGAGTCTAGACTTGATGAAATCACATTCCCAGACATACTGTTGTCAGGCCTAAGGCCTGGATTTAGAGACACAGTAAAGATGAAAATGTGCAAGCTATATGAAGGTGCCAGAGTGCAGTTTCAATTTTGCTGAACTCTTCACCGAAGGGAGAGAACATGAAATATGCGAGAGCACTGACAGGAAGAATATTTCTGTCTAAGGGAAAGATCAGTGACCACTAGCAGAGTGAGGAGTTATGGCACAGTTGTAGTTAAAAGCTGAAGAGAGAGTAAACAGTCATAAAATTCAAGTTTCTATTTAGTCTGGGCAAGTTTGAATCCCAAAAGAGGGAAATTAAAGACACTGGATGTCAGAGAAGCAGAATGAAATAAAACTGAGGGCAAATAGTTTAAAACATTTTATAACAGCACATAACTAAACTGTGGAAACCCTTTCGGAAAATACAGTGATTAGAAAGCTTAGTAAGAACAACAGCAGTAAACATTTATATTAACGTGTCCAGTTCAAAGCTTAGAAAATACAAATTTAGCTGGAAAGCTTTAGGCTTTCAGTCATAAGCCAGCCTGTCACTGACAGAGCATTTCCCTTAAGAACTGATTATTACATATTTATTACTTTATTAGTCATTATTACAAGGTCTGATTTAGCTTGTTGAAACCACAGAGTTGGACCTTGTACTGTCAGTTTAGTCCAGTCAGGCAATTCCCATATTGCGCTGTGTTGGCACAGAAAACAGATTCTTCAAAAAACAATTTCTGGACTGCAGGCCCAGGATATGTATACTCCACAACCTTTGCTTTCTTATTTGTTCAGTTTGGACAGATACCAAAAGATTTCTGGAACTTTTTGTTGTCTGCCAGTAAAGAAATGATAAGTGTAACCCTACAAAGCATGCTGTGGTTGCTTAGTATTTCATTAGCCTGTTCAGCTTGGAAGCAATCATTAGAACAAAACCATACTATCCTCTGTAAAGGAATGGGGAAGCGCTAGAGTTATGTGTGCTACCATGCTGACGAGGCTTGTCTGTGACATTTGACATTGACCGGCATAGAGCTTCATGAATGAGTGTAAACTATTGAACTCTGAAGTGTAGTGGTTTCAGAGAAGTTGTGTGGCTACGTTATTATGCCACTTAACCCCAGCTGCTATTTTCAGTGAGGCTTTTTGTGGGGTAACGTGGCAGCATGACTTCTGGACTAGAATTAGATCACTTCCAGCATTTTAGGAGCACAGACAGTGCAAACATGATACTGTACTGCTCATGTGGATCTGTCCCGAGTGTTCACAACTGTTCATGGGTTGGACATAAACAGAAATTTGTGTACAATCCCCTTGAAAATATCCTATTGTGTGTAACAGCCACTGTTAGTCATACAGCTTTTTCAGGAAGTCAGTGAAGCCAGATACATCCATAGAAACTTGAATCCAGTGTGGACTGAGGAAATTAGCCTCTTCATCGACCTGAGTGGTTATTTGTTGTTTTGAATTTTCTTTTTCTCTTTGCCAGAGACCTGTCTAGTGATGTAGGACCAGGGGCAATTTTAGGCTAAAATAAGATTCCAAGATCTCTTTGAAAGTCAAATGTAATATTAACATCATACAGCTGTGGATAATTCTTTAAAATGGTTAAAATCTTTTCTTGAGGCAAAGCATATTTAATTATTGCTCCCAGAGCCCTCAAGAAGCAGTATGCAAGGAGAATACCAATACTTGCGATTTGCCAGAAAAAACTGTACCTCCAGAGTATCAGACAAAATCCTAAAGTAGTTGCGATTCAATATCTTGTTTTGTAGTCTCTAAGAGAAGTCTAAGAGGGGAGATGGTATTAGGATGGTCACATGTAAAAAGAGTACAGAGAAAGCCTGCCAGGTGCAGCTATTTAATTTGGCCCTTTATAACAGAACATGAGGACACTCAAAGATAAGAAGAAGCTGTTTTAAAATTGAATTGCAGTAGCATTTAAACATGATGAATCATCTAGAGAAGGTTTGTTATAGTTTCCAATTAGTCTTGTCCTTTAGTAATAAAAAAGAGGACACTTAAAAGACAACAATTGTTAAATCAGGAAGGTAGGCAAGTAGATTACCTATACAACATTTAATGAATTCACAACAATCTCATGTCTACAGGCTATTGTTGAAGCAAATAGCTTAGTAACTCTTTAGAAAGATGTCAGAGTGAGAATAGTGAAAGTACTTAAATTAATTGAGATTATGGGAAAAATCTAATTTCGTTAAAAACAAACTGTATTATACAGTTATTTGTGCTGTGAAAGTAGGTTATGTTTTCCTCTCAGACAGAATACTATTCCTCTCAGAATAAATACTATTGGAAGCAGGATTCTGGACCAAATAAGTAAGAGAGGTGCTGATAACTTCTGCCCTTTCCTGAGCATTGTTTCTAACTGGGCTTGCTCCAAAGCTTGTTTATAGTTCTGAGGTTGAATCAGACCCTTTATAGGCTCTCACTGGCTTCAGTTCTGCTTGAGGAGATCTTACCAACACCTGAAGCCACCTGCTCGCACCAAAAAGTCCACCTCTAAAAGCAAGTACTGCTGAGTTCCTTATGCTTATACTTCAGGTGTGCATGCTGGCTGTAATTGATTTGTTCTTAATACTTCATTTAGAATAAATTGCTGAGTAATGTCTGTGTTACCCCTTTGCATCCCTTTCTAATCCGATCTAAGACTCCTGCACACAGCAGAAAGGTCAGTACACAGTCATATTAACAGAGAACATTTATTTATAGGTCGGTTTTTGGTTTTTTTTTGAAGTGAGGTTCGGGTATCGATGATTACACTAAAATGTGCTTAGTTTTTTGCATAGGTTCAGGCTGCTGTTTGGCACACTGAATTAACACATGACCTGTTCACATCTATAACCTTTTTCAGTAGAAACTACCTACTGCTCGGTCTTAATCTTCAGAGAATTTAGGGATGATGCTGATTCAATAAACAAATCCTATCACACCATTGGGTAAATTGCATATCTTTTTGTGCTTGGAATAGTTATTAAGGGAGATCTGTCTGTCCTTCCATGAATTATTTACAGTAAAAGTAAAATATGTCCAGAACCATAGTTTGCGAAAGGTTACTGCCAGCCCGACTTCATGTTTAGGTCATTTGTTTTATCTGTGAGTCAGGATCTGTGTATACTACTATTGGCTGCAGTTCACTCTAGAGTCATTTTACTGTCATCAGAATCCAATCGCATGCAATAATCACTTCTTGGAAATCACAAGATCTTTATACCTTGACTGAAATATGATGGAAGAAAACAAACATTAGAGAAGAAAAAACATTAGGTAGGGCTGCCCAAATGGTTTGAATTAAGGTAAATAGGCACACTGCATGTGACTGGCCACTAAAAATAATTTCCTTTGGTTCACCTAGAAAAAAGAATGGAGAAGAACAGCCGAAGTCCTCTCTCAGTAATCAGTACCGAATCGTTACACCCACATTCCAGTATAATATGGACTATAAGAAAGTTGGCAAATGTATTATTATAAACAACAAAAATTTTGAAGACAAAACAGGTAATGTTCTTCCTTTGATGATACTGATTACAGACTTTAGAATTCTTATACTTTCATTAATCAATAAGCATTTTATTTTTAGGATATGGAATTTTAATGAATATATTTATCTTTTTTGAGAAATAGTTGTTCCTACAATTTATTCCTATTCTTTAACACTTACATTAGAGCAGCTATTTGCAGCTTCTTTGCAGTGTAAGTTTCAAAGAGTATGTCACCTTGCTCTACCAACTTCAAACTAAACTATTGTCCCAGAGTTTAAGGCTGTGTTGTTAAAATTTGAACTTTGGCATCTGCAGCCCATGTTATAACTTCTTTGTCCCCGAGCTACAGCTATGAGCTACAAAAGCTAATAGCTGTAGCTGTGCTCTGTTCACAATCCTGCAGTTAACTTTTCAGACCATGTACGGTTTCAAAGCAGACAGATACTTGTGTTATAGTCAATTTTATAGGTCTTTTCCTATACACTTGGCAAACACACTAAATGAAGTGTTTAGTCCAAAGAATTTACATCAGTTTCTTTCATGTGGGTATCGTAGGGACTCTTTTCAACAGTTTTTCCTTGGGGTGCTTTATGCATACATTACACTGCATAACCAAAAGGAGATAGAATCATCCATAGAGGTCCTATGTTCCAAGGTGCTGGAGGCATGCCAACATTTTTCAGGATAAGATACATGTTAAAGTTGAACCTTGCATTATTTTGCATTAAAACAAATCTCACAATTTGTTCTCAATGCTGAGAATGCTGTTAGAGGACTGTTTTAACATCATGTCACCATGACATTGTTTAGGTTTATTAATTATAAACCTAAAAATTTCCCTTTGAACACGTGAATTATTTTGAATTGTGTAATGTGCAATCAACCATATTCTTTGTTTCCTGGCAGGAATGGGTACACGCAATGGCACCGATAAAGATGCTGGAGATCTAGCTAAGAGTTTTAGAAGCTTAGGTTTTGAGGTTTACACATACAATGACCGAAGCCGTGATGACATGGAAAAATTACTGAAGCAAGGTAAAAATTTAGAATCATAGAATAATTTAGAGTGGAAAAGACCTCTGGAAGTCACCGAATCTACCCCCTGCTCAAAGCAGGTCAAATTAGAACAGATTGCTTAGGCCCCACTACATGCAACTTTCTATATAGAAGGATTTGGTTTCTGAATGGATTAGGCTTAATTCCCCACCTTTTCCTCCAACGTCAATTCAGAAATACGCAGTTTTCTTGTCATATTAGGTGAAGCGCCTGTCCTGTGTAAAAGGTGAAGAGCCTTGTCACATTAGATAAAGAGTCCAGCCTGTTGACTCCAGTGGGCTAGACTCGGAGTCAAGTGAAGGATGCGTTCATGTATTCAAGGTACTCATCACATTACTAAAAAGTGGATTGTGTCATCTTTATCCACTCCTTCTTATGCCTTCCAGTAGAGGCCCAATGTATATTTAGTCTCAGAAAAATGTGTTTGCTAAATGTAATTTTCATTTAAAATGTTGCTTCCTTTTGGCTAAGAAGTATTTGATTTGTAGCTGCTGAGGAGAATCACAGTGATGCCGCTTGTTTTGCCTGTATCCTTCTAAGCCATGGAGAAGAAGGCCTCATCTATGGCACTGATGGACCCATGGCTATCAAGAGTTTGACTGCGCTATTCAGAGGAGACAAGTGTAAAAGCCTTATAGGCAAACCCAAATTATTTTTCATTCAGGTAATAGCCCTAAGGTAAATATAGTATCCTAGTGCTGCAGTGGGGAAAACATACTATGTTGGTTGCCTGCTCTAGAAGAGCCCTGTAGGTTAACTTACTGAATTTTGCTGGAGGTTTTGTGAAAAAATGTGTTGAGAGAAGTTGCCTATGGATGACTTGTATTGTTTGTTTTCAAAAGATAATTTATATACAAGATTCACAGATGTAAAGAATATATTGTCATTGTAATTTTGTACATGGTTTCTCTTTGTGCTTGCTAATATATGAACTTCAAAGCAGAAAGATAAACTCCCACTTGTGCAGACAGAGCTGAGGACAGTATGTGATTATCAATAGAAATAATACTGTCTAGGTCTCTTTGAATAAAGGCTGTCTCTACAAATTACTGCATTCTGCTAAAGGAAATATTTTTTATCTCCCTCAGTAGCCTAAAAATTTATATTGCATTGTTGCATTAGCATATAATTAATTGTATATTACTTAAGCTTTTAAAGACAGCTGTTTCAAACAGTATTAACTGACATACCATGGGTCCGAATTCTCTTTTTTATGGTAGTATTATGTACGTATGGGAGTTGCAGCAGATGTGGTTTTCCCTAGGCTGTTCCATCAATTAATCCTCAACCTCAAAGTTAAAACTGTCTCTGTTTTAGACTCTTCATACTACTAAAGTGATGTTTCTTTTAATTATAAGTTTGGAATGGGTATTTTGTTGCCTTTAAAATTATTTTACTAAAGGCAACCAACTCATGTTATGTAAGCCCATCAGACTGCTATTTTTTTGCAAGAGCTGTCAGCCAACGCTACTGATCAAGAGCTGAAACTTACTAACCTGGACTATGGTCCCAGTGTGCCCTTTAGCTAAACCACATGACTAAGAGGAAATTAAGAATAAAAGAGAAATGGAAAAATGTTAAAAATGCAATATACTTGAAATGGGTGGTCAAACACTGGAACAGGTTGCCCTGATTGTAGAGTCTCCATCTGTGGAGATACTCCAAACCCAGCTGGACACAGTCCTGGACATCTGCTGTAGCTGTCCCTGCTTGAGAAGGGGGATTGGACTAGATGATCTTGGGATGTGATTTTGTTATTCTGTGAAATGTAGTGCTACAGCAGTGCATGTCAGGAACCAAAGACAATGTGTAGTCCACTGTAAAGAAAACGTCTGGAAGTCATGCTGCACAAGACATTATGTAATAATTGAGTGCTGAGGATGACTCTAGACTAGTAAAATTAATCATGGTTAGAATAAGCTAACGCTGACTTGGCACTTTGACAATCCACTGAGATCCACAGCCTGCAAAAAATGCAATACTTGAAATGGGTGGTCAAACACTGGAACAGGTTGCCCTGATTGTAGAGTCTCCATCTGTGGAATACTCCAAACCCAGCTGGACACAGTCCTGGACATCTGCTGTAGCTGTCCCTGCTTGAGAAGGGGGATTGGACTAGATGATCTTGGGATGTGATTTTGTTATTCTGTGAAATGTAGTGCTACAGCAGTGCATGTCAGGAACCAAAGACAATGTGTAGTCCACTGTAAAGAAAACGTCTGGAAGTCATGCTGCACAAGACATTATGTCAAACCCAGCTGGACACAGTCCTGGACATCTGCTGTAGCTGTCCCTGCTTGAGAAGGGGGATTGGACTAGATGATCTTGGGATGTGATTTTGTTATTCTGTGAAATGTAGTGCTACAGCAGTGCATGTCAGGAACCAAAGACAATGTGTAGTCCACTGTAAAGAAAACGTCTGGAAGTCATGCTGCACAAGACATTATGTAATAATTGAGTGCTGAGGATGACTCTAGACTAGTAAAATTAATCATGGTTAGAATAAGCTAACGCTGACTTGGCACTTTGACAATCCACTGAGATCCACAGCCTGCAACACCATTACCTCCCTTTACTGTACGGGATGTATATTTTAAAATGGGTAAGCTAGTAACTTTATCACTGAACCATTAGATGTCCCCCAGAATTGCATTTCTGCTTCTAATACATGCAAAGTACTGCTTAAAACTGTATTCATTAAAAGATGTTAATGAATACTTATTTTTATAACACCTTGTTTCTCCTTACTGGACAAGTTCTCTTTGTCTTCACTGCTTTCAGGCATGCAGAGGCTCTGAATTTGATGAAGGTATACAAACTGACTCTGGACCTGCAAATGACACTCTGGAAACAGATGCCAATCCGAGATACAAAATCCCAGTAGAAGCAGATTTTCTGTTTGCATATTCCACAGTGCCAGGTAAAAAAAAGGGGGTCAGGGTAGGGATAGAAGCCTAAAAACTTATCACCCATATTGACTTGATTGTAGACTGACCTTCATTGATGATACGTTGTACATTGATGGACAAAACACTAAGGCCCCATGTATGCTGGGTCAGTGTGTTGTATCCACTCCTTTTACAGTAGCTATAGCGGAAACAGGAGAAAGCCCAGATTTAGCAGGTGAGAAGACACAGACATGACAGATGGCAAAGGCAGTACTATTTTCTGGGAATCCTGCCCTTCTGTGTCCCAGTTTAGTGAGTATGTTGAATATGTGATGAAGGCAAGAAGAGGAACAGTTACAGCAGGAAACTTATTCTTAGAGAGGAAAAACATGAAATCTTACTTCTTGCAGTTTCCCAAATGCAAAAATATATAGAATGGTACTTTAGTAGTGTGAGATTTGGAGAGTTAATACACATTATTCTCCACTTTAATGAAGTAGGATATGTGACACAAGTGATAAGAATTAAACTTTCTGTGTGTGCATTGTTACTCTTTGCCCAGAATCTTTCACACAAATTAGTACATATCCCTCTGCCATTTCATTCTTCAGCACAAGATAATAAGAAAATAGAGGAAAAATAACCCCATGTACTTTCTTATCTGTCTTTCCTGTAAGGTTATTACTCCTGGAGGAATCCTGGAAGAGGCTCCTGGTTTGTGCAGTCTCTGTGCTCTGTGCTAAATGAGCATGGAAAACAACTTGAGATCATGCAGATCCTCACACGGGTCAACTATGTAGTTGCCACAAATTTTGAATCACAGTCTGACGATCCACGCTTCAGTGAGAAGAAGCAGATTCCCTGCGTGGTCTCTATGCTCACTAAGGAACTTTACTTCTGAAAGTGTACTTTCAGTACAGTGATGAAAGATCAGGATATGGTTTTGGGTGGAGATTTGGTTATAAACTGGAGTAACACATTTTTAGTAACAAATGTAATTACACTAGATTTTTATATTGTATAAGCTGGGGTATCTGATGGATGGACAATATGCAAGATTTTAAAGAAGAAATAAATGCTGTGGGCCAACCTGACAGCTAATACTAATTAATGTATCTTGATTTCCCTTAGTGTCAGGCTGTCATGATTTATGGCTACTGAAGATGTTCTGAGAGTCAGCTACATGACCCATAAAGGTTTATTCCAGAAAACAGATTGTAAATTAAGAACAAAAAAATTAAATCATGAGACTCCATCTTTTCTTTCACTGCTAGCTCATGGAACCATAACTTCCTCGGAAATTTCCAAAGACCATCATATTATGGGTATGTCCAGTGATGAAACAGTTTGTAGCTTTTTAAAAGGGTGTTTCTTAGTCTAATCTATTCATTTCCTTTTTATGAACATTATTAATGAAGACTAATGGTTGCTCTGTGCTTAATCTGGACGTCAATTTACTTAGTTATCACTCTAGCATAAGATGGATAAAAAAAAAAAATCAGTATTTGTAGATGATTTACCTGAATACTATGGAAATGTAACAAATAGAAAAATCAAAATGAAAATCTTTGTAAAAGATTGGCAAACTGTAATTGGATGATGCCTTATTAAAGTGCCATTGTAAAGATTTTTGCCTTGCAAATGACAATTAACTGATAGAGCAGCCTGAAACAGTGGTATTGCAGTTTTTCTGCTTGCAGAAATAAAAATGTCTTCTTGTTGATTCAGAAGTTTTGAACCAACAGAAAGTTAATGCCAAGGCTTTGTTATAAAACATTAAAATTTAATGTTGAAACGATAGAATTATATGTTCCAGTAACAAATGTATGTTTAGATATAGCTTCTATTTGTGAGGAATTTTGCCAAGACTGGATATACTTACTTGAATCAGAAACCAGAAGTGCCTTTTTAGTTACTGTATGGTCTTGATTTTGTATTTTGGAGTTACGTCGGTGATATTTATATTCCTACTTTTTATATTCTCTTTAAAGTTGGTAGCTAGCTCAAAAAAGTAAGTTTAATGATTTGGTTAAACTGATAAATGATTAGTCGTTCACCCTTTTCCCAGTTAATGTACTCTATACTCTTTTGAGATCTAAGAAAATAAGTGCATACTACTAAAGCCAAGTTACCAAATTATTAAGTTTATTTTCTTACAAATACTGTGGCATAGTGAGGCATATATTTTTTTTCAGAAGTCAAATTTACAGTTGTTTGAATTAAATAAATGATTGTTTTATGGACGTCTTGAGCATGAAATCAATAAAGAACTTTTTTTAAATTTCCTATGAATAGCTGTGTGTTTGTCACTCAATCTGTGAAGTGAAAACCAAACAAAATACATCCCAAAACCTTTCTCAGCCATGAATGCAGATGGTCTTCAGCATCTTTTCAAGATGAGATTTACAGTGTCAGTTGAAAAGTAGTTTAGAAAAGTAAGCTGGCATTGGATGACTTGGGTTAGGCAGGCCACATCCTCTCTTAGAGTAAACCAAAATTATTGAAAATATTTTAATGGAAATATCCAGATCTACCAGCGCTTAATCTTGCCCTGTGTATAAAATGTCTTTATACAGTAAACTGTACAGTGGTCTAGCAGTTCATATGAAAATGTTCTTCCTATTACTTCTGGCAAATAGCTCCATCTTAAACTATTTTCTGGCATTAGAGATATTCCTGTTTTACCATGAGAAATGTGTCCAGTCAACATTTCAGTATTCGTTACTTCTCTGGAAGCTCTTTCATGTCTTTATAGTTCATTAGTGTTTATTTGCTTAAGGTTTAGCCTGTTTTTACATTTCTGTTAACGATATTCCCCTGTCTCCAAAACTATCCTTTTATTCAGATACATTGTAGCTCTGAAGCCAGAGAGCCTTGGGAACAATAAAGGAGCAAGTAGGGGCTCTGAAACAGGTCATTTAAGTTTTTAAAACAATGCCAAGGAATGTAACAGAATAACAGGTAAGGAGCACATTTCCTCTTGTGTAGTGCTTTTTTCTTAAAGGTTCTTTGAGAACGATATTTTATTTTAAAAAAGCTATAGCAAATTTATCTTAGCTTAGAAGCATTGGGAAAGTATAAAAATTACTAGAAATAGTCCCTGGTCCAGCCTACAAGGGACTCCTGAGAAAGAATCACAAGAGTTAATATTAGTGAGTTTCCTCTATGAGTAGGAAAAGCTATTCGCCCTCTTGGACGTAATGTCTAAAAGAAAAAAAAAAGGGTGGATAGAGCGGGTCTGTATCAGATTTTGTTGTGCATTTACCATGACAGACACTAAATAAGGACAGCTTGGGAATTTCCAACTAATAGGTGAAATGGTAGCTGTCTATCTAAGAAAAAAGGCAAAGAAGAAAATTTCCCACCGACAGACATCACATCTGACTGGTAATGTTTACACGCTAAGGGCTGTGCCAGCCCAAGAGCCTGAAGGAACCCATTCAGAATAAGGAAGCCTGACCCTTTCACTTGAGCAAGGCCAGGTAGCTGAATAGTGACTTATAAGCTGTTAGGGCATTTTAGCTCATTGCTTCATCAAATTTATAACTATTTTCTGTCTAAAAGCAATTCCCTTTCCATCTGCAGGATTAGCCAAATGGTTTAGTATCTAAAATCATTATCATTAATGATATGCTGGATGTTTCTGGAGAGAATCCAAAAAATTCACCTATAACCAAGACAGACACTGACCCTACAATGGAAGTACATTGTCGTGACATAGGTAGCGTAAGAAATCCTGCTTCACCAGTGTATGTTTTAGTAAATGCTGTTCTTTAAATCTGAACTTGGTTACATTTTATAGTACTTTATGATCTTTTAGGGTTCTTAATGTTGCTTTATCTTCCAGTCATGGTTGGATATTATATTTTAGACATAGCTCAGGGGAAATGAAGGGACTGTTTAGAAAGCTGAACCAACAGAAACTCTCCAGGCTTTTTTCTGCGTGGGAGACATTTATGGCTGCCTCAAATGTGCATATTTTTTCATATTTGTAAGTGAATAGTAATCTTCTGGATTTCCCCTTCCAGAACAGTCTTTAATTTGCTTCCCGTGGCAGAAACAGGAATTTCCTTGTGGGTCATATTTCAGGGTGTTTGTATTTATACACAGACTGTAAGAAGGCAGTCACAATGCAGGGCAAGGACACATCGTGTTTCGCTGCAGGAGGCGATACAGGGAATCTGGAAATACTTAAAAGGTGTATTTCTCTAAAACCTTCTATGCCATAAAGACATTTTGCCTGTAAGTATTAACACAGTTTGTTTTCCTTATCTTGGTATTATATTTTTGCAGTTTTATAATAGCCTACCTCTTAATAATTTGAAGCATTTTATTTGCATTTTGACTGAAGTGTCTCATTGCATTTCAAAAGGTTGAAAGCAATCAAATCTCTTAATGCCAGGCATACAAAAAACTGAGGGGGTATAATCATGGAATTGGCATTGTCTATTCTGAATTAGACATAACCTGTTTAAAATGTTGCTTTCCATTGAAAAGACAATTAAACGCAACAATTAAAAACTTTTTCCCAAAATGCTGAGTGAGATAGCACAACTGTAATCCCACGGGTTTTTGTCATCCCACCTGCAAATCTTGACTTTTACTGAAACCTAGAAGAGACTTTTATCCTGTCATAGGCTCTTGGAACATTATTTTGCAAGAATTGCATCGTTTGCCAGTTGCGGTGACTCTGTAAGTCACGTTGAAAAGAACATTGCATTGCCTTTGATTGCAACCCCAGGCGTGTGGCCCTACTATTGATCCTAACAATTTGACTTTGTGTGCAGTCATTTTTAGTTTTGGAAACTGCTTTTTTGTCCTTTTTTTTTGGTAGGCAATAGATGAAAATCCTGGCAGGAAATTTTGTAACAGTCTGTCACGGCATTTGTACAACAAATCTTTCTCCCAAAAAGGCAAAATCGCAAAGGTTTCCTTAAAAAAAAAAAAATACAGGCAGAAATGCTCTGCAGAGATCTCCAATGGACCTAAGTTTGCAGTGAGGCTTTCTCATTTACAGCATGGTATTGCCTGGAACAGGAGGTGTGGAAGTCTATAGCTTTAGTTATGTGTCAGAGGTAACATTTTGTGTGTAACCCACCCCATGCCAGGTGAGTGAGGCCAGAAAATAACCAACCATTTCTGATCACCACTCCTACCGTACCGTGTTTACTTCTGGCACCATGGAGTAAATGACTGAAGAAACAGAAGCAAAGGAAACCCCTTAAATCTCTCAATTCAGCTGGGGAGCTCAGCAAAGAACTAGAGAATAGCACTTGCAATCCTTCAAATTTTCCCAGAAGAGACTCTGCAGCTTCAGGTGGCACACATGTTGGAGACTGTGTAACCTCATTGTAGCTAATAGACAACTTCAAGTGAAGTTACTAAAAGGAAAGGATTTGATTTTGCAAGGAATGAGAGCTTTGGGGTAAGGCAAAGAGAAACTTTTGAAAAGTTTCCTAAATGATGTTACAAACAGACATGGTATTACAAATTGGAAATGTAAGTATATGAGAGAAACAAGATCTGATTTTAAATAAACAAGAAAGCAACTGTGAGAAATAAAAAACTGTCCAGTGTGCAAAATGTAGTGCCATGCATGCAATCGACTGGGAGGAGTGCAGAGCTCACATACGAATTGCAAAGAAATAGCAGTGCTTTGGAGGTCTGGCTCTGTTATCCTGACACCCAAATGGTGTTCTTCTCGAAGGAAAGCACCAAAAGGCAAATTAGCTCAAAAAACCACCAGTGGAAGCCCATTAACCAAACCCACCTTTTACCTTCTAAATGCTCCATCTCTGTGTTCCTGCACTTACCAAATCCCACAGACCGCTGCCTGCATGTTTTGTAAAAGGGTTATTTAACAAAACTTCAGAGAAGTCCATGGAAATGCATCGGTGCATTCTGCCTCCCTGCCAGCCTCTATTCCCATCTCTGCCACAGCCTGGCTATGCCAATGAGCAGGTTATTTAACTTCTTAGGTTTACAGTGAGATTCCCATTTCCCTAGTAATACTGGAGGAGACATTGCAAAAATAAGTTGACGTAAATAAAAACAGATACTCTCTGTTTACCCCTCTGAAAAATCATAATACTAACCCACCTCATTGAAAGCTGTGAAGTTTATTTAATCACTGTTTATAAACTGCTCTGAGGGCATTGTATTAAGAATGCTACAGACTTGCAAATTATTATAATTTCTGTAGTATTATGACTAGATTTTCTAAATAGATTTTAAACTCTTTAGGCCAAGCTATGCCTATTTTATACAGGGCTGATCACACTGCTAAGGCAGTGTCAGAAACATGTATGGGATGCAATATTGCTAGGTTACAGGTGTTGTGTCTAGCGCAAAGGAAGGGGCAAAATGAAGTTCTGTTGGCAGGTCTCACTACTTCCTAGGCAAATCATCTCTTTGGCCTATATAAATTTATAATTTTTATTATTCATAATTTTATAATTATAATAGAATAAATATAA